TAGTACTGCAGTACTAGTAGCGTACTAGTACTAGTGCACTAGTAACATAGGAATCCTACGCTCTAATAGTTTATCTTTCCCTGTAGATATTCCTTGCCCACCAAGCAACATTATACCCACCCGAAATACGGATACGTCAGTAGTTGTCGCTTGGACAGAATCTGAAGATGCAAAGGAACTGGTGGGATACTACATAGAAGCAAGTAAAGTAGGGTCTGGTGATTGGGTGCCATGCAACAATAATCCTGTGAAAGGTGCAAGGTAATAAATTGGATAATTAAGTATCATTTGTGAAATAATATTTGAAAAGGGCCAAAAAAGGAAAAATATCGCATGAATGTTCAGTAACTGGATCCCTCCTGAAAAGTGGCATGAATGAAATATTTGGTTGAGTTGTAATTCTGTAAAATTATGTGACTTTTGGTTGCCAAATTCTTTTTCTTGGCACCGATGTATTGGACATCCTAATTTCTTATTCCCTGCATTCTATTAGTTTTGTATATCTTAGCACAAATGATTTAAATAATCTAAACAATCCCATATAAATTCTGATTATATATTCAAGAACTGCTATCAAATCTTGTATATACCCTAAAATTCTGCAATTCACATGAAGCATGAAATATGCTAATTCCAAGACCTCAAGAGAGCACTTTTTCTCAATATCACATCAATGGTTTGTACCATTACGTCAACCGTAACAAATCATGAACAATAAAACAACATATGTTATCGCAACCAAAACAACATATATATTGTTTGTGAAGTACTGTATCATAAGTAGAGCCCATTTCAGAGTATATTATTTTAAGAGCATTGTGCTTAAGTTCACGTAAACAATTAAAAATTATTCAACTTATTGACCAGTTTGGAATTTTGTGGTAAGATATAGGTATTGTGAACTTTTAAAGGGTTACTGTTCAAGAGTTTCTATATATGTATATCCTGTTATATAAGAGGCATGATCAAGGATTTGTTCATTGTCCCTACATAAATGTAAGCCTTCATGCAGAATCAAGATCCTTCATTGCAGTACCACTATCTCCTGTCCTCTTGATGAAGAAGGAGACAAGGAAGATAAGAAAATAATTATTAAGTAATTTTGCAATGGACCTTGCCATTTTTACATTCTTTGTAATCCTACTGTATTACTTAAGAAACGGGTGCTGTATTTCATATAAAAGAAATCATTTGTGTAAAGAAGGAAATATTGTATAGTTTCACAGTGTTTTAATTAGTTTAATTTAATTTAAACATTGATTTACTTAAGATTCACTTGTCATGGACTTACCACTGGAGATCGCTACATTTTCCGTGTCAGAGCTGTTAATGCAGCTGGATTAAGTGGATATTCACAGGACTCAGAAGCCATTGAAGTCAAGGCAGCTATTGGTAAGCGATGCACTGTTCCTATGGGAAAAACATAAATCAATGTTATAATTATATCTAGATTAACTTCAATATTCCACACCAAATATGCATTGGTAATGTTTAATATTTCACTTCCATCGTTTCATAGTCATCCAAGCAATAAGCACTTGTAGATTGCTCATCTTCACCATCTCCGACATCTTTGGGTGTGTTCCTTGTAACTCTGTATAAACAGTACGTTCACCCTCTTATTACTTGGAAATCATCTGGCAAACTGATCTCATAATGAAGTACTTGTCTAATTTCTAACATGCTATATCTTGGGAGATTAAGTTGATTAATTCATTTGTCTAATTTACTTCCTTATTAACTACTCTTCTCATATAGTCATGATCTGATTTTTAAAAAATCCTGCATGCTGCTTAACAAAATAAAATAATTAATTTACTTATTATAATTAATTAATTTAAAATAATTAAAATGCCAATAATCATATATTGTTTGACTCCATTTTAAACATCAACTGAATGATTCATAATTCTGAGGTTGCTTTAATAGATCGTATAACTATGGTATGCCCTCATTTCAAAAATTATAGAAATTAATTTTGAAGATAATGGAAGATCTTTTGGTGGACCATTCATAGAAATATTAACTGCATGAATACATGTTATAGATTAAAATTCATATAATCCCACCATATCACATGTTGTCTGTAGCTAATGCTTTGATGTTCCTTCGTTGTCCTGCTTTGTCTCCATTTCTTCATTTTGTTCAATAACGGAGAATTGGGAATGAACTCTAATTTCAAATGTCTTTGTTATTTTCTGGCAATTATAGGGGGAGGATTGCTTCATGGTGTATGTCCTGGACTAAGTGATAAAGCTGGTGGACTAACAGGCCGCACTCTCAACTGGGAAGGCATGCATGAGTCCTCCCAGCCTATCTTTGACACAGATGCTTTGTTAAATTGCAATGCTAAACCCAATAGGCAAACAATGCCCAGTAGCTCTGGTAAGCAGAGGAGTCCATCAGTCAGTAAAGGGAGTGACCCAGTTCCTACTCCTTCATCACAAAAGGCAACTACCAAGCACCCACGTAAATCTGTTCCCGGAGATCGTTCAACACTGGAGAAAATTCAAAAGAAAAATGATATAGGTGAGCTTTGGTCATATGTAGTGATTTCACCTTGTAAGCTCATTTATTTCAAATAGTTATAGTCCTGTTATCATCCAAGTTGAAAATAGACATCTTTGCCAATGCGACATTTTGATCATCTCCATCTAATAAATGCTCAGCTTCCATCAAAGCTCATTACATTTAGAGTGTAGAGGTCACCAAGTCTATGGCACATTTATATGTTGCATCTAACATCAAGCTTGCATGTTGCATTTATTCGCTAATTTGGTTAGATTACTGTTTACTACATTATTATTATTAAGAGATAACAATATATATTGCATCTAAAATATTGTGGTAACATTTGATGCTGTTTAAATATTCAGTTCGTATGGCCTTATTTTGTAGTAGTATCAAATTTCCAAGATTTTTTAAAAAATTCTTCCAATTCTTCACAACAGAAAATAAAATAAAATTGTACACTTAATTATTAATTAATTTAATATCAGTCATTTTCTGAGTTGGAAACATATGGTGCACTGTTAACTTATTATCTGAAAAGCAGGGTAAACATTCTTTGATGAACTATTGAATACATTGCATATTTGCATATTTCAAATCATCAGGACATTGTCCAAAACATTTGTAAAAGAATATCTAAGGAGAAGAAGAACTCCAATTATAACTATCTTTCATATTCAGAAAACAATAAATCCAAAATGTTTAAACTTGGATATACTAAAGATAGTCACCATCTAGCACTGGTCATGAACCTTCCATAATCAGGAATATATTATTAAAGAGATTGACAAAATATTTTGTATACCACATGTTTGAAGGTTGCTGCTATTTAGACGTCTAACTACCATAATATTTTATCAATGGCCATGGTGACTAGAACCATACTGGTATAATTATATACATGGAACATACCACAAGTACATCTAATCTAAATTTATTTATCAGTTCACTATTTATAAAAGAGAATGCAAGCCACAGGATAATACACAACAATATATAAATAAAAAACCAAGGGAAAGTTGCCCAACAGCGTAACTATTTAGCAAATGAGTCAGTGTACGAGTGAGTAGAAATAAAGTATATTCACTTAAGTAATTCTATGGAAGTGATTTATGAACATTTAGTATTTTTTTTCTCTAGCTGGTTTAGTTTCTAATTACCAAACAATTGAAAATAGTCATATACTTTACATGAGATGACTATTTATTTAATGTTACCTTTTTTATGGAAAAACAATCTCAAAACCAGTGTTCTTGATTAGATTTGTATTTATTTAAAAAAAAATTCCTGTTCTTATTTTTACAGATTATGTACAGCTTCCAGTACTATAGCTAGAAACCATATTTAAAACCTAAATAAATGATGTATATTAAAAGTATTTAGAAAGTTAATAGAAACTAATGGATTTTGCCTTGTGTTGCAAATGTCACAGACAAACAGAAAGGTATGACTAAAGAAGAAACAATCCATGTGTTAATCTGGCATGTGCTGAAAAATCTTTGCGCTAGGTGGCACTGTATTTTTTTTTAACTCTTTCCTAATGTTATTCTAAGCAAGTCTCTTTCATAGATCTTACTGTGAAATCATCTGAGTCTTTGGGTAATTCTTTTTTCTAGTTAAAAAATAAGAAAGTATTTTTGCAAAAAGATGTAACAACTGAAAAACAGGTTTCTGAGTAAACTATGTCCAAGTTATGATGGCCTATGGCATTTTCATGCATTTTCAAGATCAAGGCATTGCAGGAAAGAGATGGAACATTAGATGTCAACGGAGGTGGATTTACTTTTTCTCTCCTTGCTTGTCCTCAAAAAGATAGCTCCAAATATTTTCATTTGTATGTGAGTTGGATTGCAGTGACGTATGATGGGCGCTTACTGTGTACAAGGTAGGCAGTAATGCAGATGTGATATTAGAGCATTATGAATACTAAAAATTAAGAGTGGGAAAAAGAGGAAAAGAGACAAAACATCTGTGAAACAATATGCTTGGATTCAGCAAAAGTGTATTTGTATACACACGCCCAAACATTATATATACATACACACATATACCTGCATACCACTGGTATGTCTATTTTTTTTAAAATGTCATTGTTTGAAGTAGAGCTAAAGTCATTTTGTGCTATAACATTCATTCCATAATATATTACTTTTTAAACACCTGTCTTAATATTTTTACTTTCAGAATATGGAGTTTAGAGAAGCCCATATTTCTTATCCAGAAGTGTTTCAATTAGCTACATGATTTTTGTTTGAAGAAAGGAAACTCCAGGATTAAGCTATGAATAATGCTGTACAAAAGTTTGATTGAATAACAGAATATTTCTATCCTAATAATAAATTATTCATCATAAAACAGCACCTCCATCACCACCATATGACATCACAGTGCTTGAAAGTGTTCGTGATTCAATGGTTCTTGGATGGAAACAGCCAAAAGCTATTGGTGGAGCTGAGGTCACTGGCTATTATGTGAATTACCGGGAAGTGATTGGTGGAGTACCTGGAGAATGGAAGGAAGCGAACATTAAAGCCATTAGTGAAAGGGCATATAGGGTAAGAGAGTTTGATGTTTCTAGGCTTATGACTGCTACCTAATTTGGGGTATTCCACAGTGCCACCAGCAACAGATTAAATTTTTCCTTTTATTAATATCAAGTTGATTTATGTTAGAATCCAAACTTATAACTGGATTGTTATTCATGATTTTCAAATAGGATGCTAATGTAATCTACTAATTCTTCTTTTCAAGACATTGCTCTTACAATTGTCATGTTCTAAGATCTGTAATTTTCAAATGCACTGCTATTTTTGACTCTGGATGGATGGACGGACAGACAGACAGACAGACAGACAGACAGACAGACAGACACATTGACTAATCAAGTAAAACAAAATTGAGACTTCCAGTAATTTTCATGGGTAATATAATATTCGCTANGTCAACCTTGAGCCGGTGAGATTTGAACCACCGAACTGCAGCTTACAGTCAGCTGAAGTGGCCTGCAGTACTGCACTCTAACCACTGCGCCACCTCAGCTCGACTGCCACAAATCATTTCTGGTTCAAAGGATTATCATTCAGAAAGTCATCAGACCATTCCTAGAATGATCACATTGGCTTTGTTTGAAAGATAAAAGCAATGTTCCAAACTTGTCAGAAATATTTTGTTTCTGGAATAGCAAGTTTTGCACGTACCAAGTTATTAATTTTTAAGTTTTAAAATATACTCTTCACAGCCTCATAAGTAGATTTGCTGTATTGGACAGAAAATGCTTATTTACTTTTTTTTTGTTCAAGAAAATACATTTCTGAAATTGAAATTTTCTAGTCTCAAGTTGATTGGCTACATAAAGGCATTCAATTGTTCTTCAGGCTCATTTACTTTCTATTGTTCAGTGGTTACGTAAGCCACTCAAAGCATTTTGAAGTTGGCATAACTGCAGAAAACAGGCAGAAATCATCATGAGCCAATCTGTGTTTTTCTCCATCTCACCAATAGAAGAGTGTAAATATTGCAAGTCAGGCAGACATTGATAGAAGCTTCTAGAGGGAAAAATTGTCTGTAGAATTGGTGTAGAAAATAGAAAAATAATTACTAGTTTTCAGTTATAACCAGGTATCTTCATGCTATGTTCATTTATTTTGTAATAATAACCACAATTTGAGCTGTTGTTCTGAAGGAAATCTCATTTGAGCATCAAAACATGGATTTAATTTCTCAAATTCTCATTGAAATCTATAATGCTATATTATGATGCTACAGAATTGCAGCCAGGAGCTTTCCCCCTAGGTGTGGTTACAGTTGTGAATCATAGTATAGAACATATCTTTACCTATAAGGTGAGAAAATGTAATTACAGATGATAGACAATAGCATGAGGCTGTATGTTGCTTACATAAACAGAGAAATCAGTAGTGTTTTACAAGAATTACAAAACTGTTTCAAGTACTAGGATCAAGATCAAGTTTGATTGTGTGTGAAATCTGCTAAAGATCTCTGAGCTCAACTGCAGAGTGCAAGTGTGAGGCAAAATCCCTGAAAGCGGGCAATTGTTTACCTCAAGCTCCAAGAAATACCAGTATAGCAAAGTGGGATTGTTGCAATTTGAGCTGCATCACAGCAGAGCCAGTTCTTAGATGCTCAGGAATATAATACCAATGCTAGATCAATGAAGATGCAGCATGCAGAGCGGCTCTTATTGGAGAAAAAGGTGAACAAACGTTTTAAAATAAACTTCTGCGGATTCTTCTTCTTTCCTTTGGCTTCTTCAAGCAGAAGGTATTGTTCCTGGACCTCCATTAGACCTCCGTGTTACAGAGGCAACTAAGAACTATATAGTACTTAGCTGGAAACCTCCACATGAACGAGGCCATGAAGGTGTCATGTACTTCGTTGAAAAGGTAAAACCAAGATGAGCATGCACTATTTTCTCATTGATTTTTTTGCCAAGCTACTAAATTGATGCATTTTCATTTCAAACTATTTAATTTAACATCAAACACGCACAGAGAGTATCTCAACAGTATTAGTGCTTTAAAAACTTGAAATTGTTTTAAGACTTTGCAGCTATCCTGGGTATGTCTGTCTTTCTCTGTGTGTTTAATGTAGTATTTACAATAAATGTAGAAAAAAAGCTATGAATATATATGAAATAATTGAATAAGTAGCACTGACAAAGGAATAAGGAAAGAAAGAAAAGTTGTCCCCTTTTCTTTCTTCAGTTTCATTTAATGGAAATTGGATGGATGGATGGATGGATGGATGGATGGATGGATGGATGGATGGATGGATGGATGGATAAGATGAAGTGATACTTGGGGAACTAACTAGTTCTCTAATGTTGAAGTACTGATTGGATTGAATATTGAGATTGTTGAAAGAAAGAACATTTCTTTCTACATTTTATACATTTTATACTTGCTTTTAATTGTGGTTCTTGGTAACTTTAAAGCCATTCCTAAGATTTCAATAATCTTTCTTGCTCTGATTATCAGTAATTTGTCTTGATTTTACATTCTGAATAGCAGCTCTTTCCCAATCCCCTAAGATCTTTCCCAATCCCCTTTCCCAATCCCATTGTGAAATAACCTCTTAGGTCACAGGAATATTGATATAGCAGGCAAAACAGAAGCTTGATGTAAGGAACAAACCAGGATAATGTGATCCAATGTGACCAATTCTAGTACAAGAACAAAAAGGGCATTTTGAGGGTTGGAGGGTGGTTTATTCATCAAAGAGCGTAATTTGAAATATAAAAGAAATTTCAAAGAAAGCAAAATAAAAGTAAGTTTGAGTCACGGTATAAAGTCTCAAAATAATTTAATTATTTAATTTAATACTGTGGGTATCATTTTACCTCTACCTAAAATGCTCAGAGAAATCCTGATTTAATCAAATCAAGGAAGAATGTTAAAAATTGAAGTGTCATAGGAATGAGTAGATGGCTAGATCTGGGCATAATGAACTTTTTTTAGGTCCTTCCTTCAGATTACAGCATCCTAGAACATTTGGTCGATTAATCAAACTAAACAAGAAAGAAACATAGATTGTCTATATTCTGAGTGGTACCCAAGACCTTGTTTGCGATATGAGCATTGTTGAATACTTTTAAAATAATGATCTCATCCTATTAGATCTGTGGAAAATATTAAAGTCCTGTACATTCATATTTTACTTTAGATTGTGACAGAAATGCTGGAAAACAGATGGAGTTACTTAAAGAAAAGATTAAAACTGTTCAGAATGCTTGAGAGAAACACATTGTTCTTTGCCTAATTTAAAAGTGATGAAAAGATGGAAGCCTCACATCCCCATCATTTTCTTATATATTCTATTCTATTAGATAGATAGATAGATAGATAGATAGATAGATAGATAGATAGATAGATAGATAGATAGATAGATAGATAGATAGATA